CTCAATTGTGTATTCAGCAGTGCTCATGGTTCACAGGCTTTAATTGCTTATATTTCACACTCAGTGCTTTTGGGGATTTGAGGATATGACGGGCTAATTTCACTGCTTTCTAAATATTGGAAACCAACATTGCTTCCTATGGTATTACAAATATTGCCATAAAGCATGTAATTATAGCCTACCTGAGGCATGGCACAGCTGTTGTTGTGGCACAAATTACAGTGTATTTTACATTGGTTTAGTGAACATTTGAAAGCACTTGCTTAAATTTGATGCTTATAAAAGACAATGGCGTCTTAAAGCTACCAGTGTCATGAATTTTGAATGGGATATGAGACTTTTTTGGACTGTTGTGGTCATCTTCAGCCATCAGCAAATGAAGAAGGTTGTTAGATATAGTGTTGAAAACTACCTTTCTTATAGGACTGCATGATATTGAAAAATATATCTAAAACGTGATACGGCTCAGCATTTTTATCAAAAGCCAAAGGCTCCGGTTTAATTAAGTATGTGCACAGCTGGTTTCAGAAACCAAATCTTGTTTTTTCTCAGTAAAACACATTTTGTCTTCAATTATTTTCATGTTTCCTATTTTTCCTATTTCAGTTTTTGTTAAGTATGGTAAAAACTGGTCAAATGTGCCAACAATCACATAAAAAAATATACACTTTTTGATATACCATAAATAAATAAAAAACAGGTAGCCCATCTGAATTAGGACATTTAGGCTATCCGTCTAATAGTAGCCTACCAAAATCTTATTAACAGTAGAAGTTAAATCTTACTGTAGTCTTCAAATCTGGGTACTGTCTTACGTTTTAAAATCACAAAGGGAGTTTGGTCCCATCAGGCTAACGTGACCGTCACGACTCATGCAGCTGTAAGCTTTTCTTTTTCTTTTGTTTTTACTCACGATCTTTACAACACGCGTTACGTTACGTATTTCATGGCACACTCGTTTTATGCGTATTTGGCGCCACCTATTGTTGTGGGTGTATTATTGACATGTCAAAGTCTAGACCCTGAATATAAGACGACCGCGTTTTTTCAGATGTATTTCCAAGAAAAAAATATCGTCTTATATTCGGGTCAATACGGTAAGTGGAAAGATATTTTCACTTTATGGTTTACTTTTATAGGTTTGAATCGACTCTTGTAAAGTGTATACCCAAGTGAACATTTTTCTTTTAGGTTTGTCCCAAATTGATCAGCCCTAAAGGAAAGTCTTCAAAGCAAACAGTAATTTTTTATTAATTTTTTTCATATTTGTATTTTCTATGCATATGCACTCCCCTAAAAAATCACCTCGATCATTCTAGAAGGATTCATTCTTTACAAATAAAGCTCAAGTCAATTGCTGTATTTATTTAAATATTGCAATGTCAGTTTTTATGATATCATGCAGCCCTACTTTCATATTTCCGAGTCTGAGGCACAGTCTTATCCTTGGCAGGTGCTTTTTCTTTTTTCTGCACGTGTGTTTTATCCACAGGCATCAAAAGTGCCTTTGCATAATGTGAACATGTGACAGACTTCACTGACAGAGAGGTCACCGTCAATACGTGACGGCGCCTCTGACGCTTTAAATGAGCATATTGTTAAAGAGTTGAATTGTGAGCAGTGTTTGTGTTGTAGGTCCTGGCTTGCCTCTCTCAATGTCAGTATGTGTGAATCAGGGCAGTCTTTCCTCACATAACCCTCCGCTGGACAAGCCAGGCTTGATAAGAGTCCCCACAGGACAGGGAGGCTTTGACCGTAAAGTGGAAATACGTCATCTCTGGCCAAAATCAATTTTGTAACCCGCAGAAATCGAAGAACAAAGAGCATTCACATCTGAGACACATCCTATGCTGAGAGATGTGAGATAAGAAATCAACCCAGTAAGGGTTCTCCATCAACACTCTCTGACATTTTACGTCAAGATGTCACAGAAAGACAACACAGAACAGAATGCGATGGCCATAGCTGTCAATGGAGTGCATGCTGAATTCATTCATGTCTGTTGTATATCACAATTTTTAACATTGCATATGCAACCTTTTGGGCAGAAACGGTGAGTTACTAAATGATTTCCAAAGGCTAGTGTCATAGTTTTAATAAAACTAAGCTATTATACGCCGATGGAGGGGGGGCGGGGGGGAACACAATGAGCAAAATTAAAAATGGCTGTAGGCATAATCTGCATAATTACATGAGCGACATTAATAACCCTACACTAAATTATTTGCTCCAAAAAAGGAATAAATTTGGTACGAGACCTTTAAGCAGTTAGAGATTTGGCTGAATTAACTGTAATCCATGCAAATGGCACTGTTTATGAATTATGCTGGAAAATGAATGCAAATCTTGTAAGACTGCGAAACTGAAGTGTTAGTGTAATGTTACAATCCTTCGACATCTCTCAACTGAAGCTCAGTGCATTGGCTGATATTGTGGGCCAGAAGGTGGCAGTAGTCATGCATTTTTAGGGAAGGAGCATTGATAGTGGCTTTTAGGATGCTAGAATGTGCTGTAGTAAATACAGACCACTCTCTTTGAACGACTGCTCAAAAGTAGTAGTTCTAAGCTATGAAGAGTTTTGCACTAAATTATGTTTAGTTTACTTTTGGTTGCAAAAGGAAAGTTGAAAATTTAAAAATAAGTAAACATTTTCATTATTTTTTAACCCTTATTCCATACCTTCATGCGGATGTTTTTGTAATTGTGAAAGTACACTTCTTTTAAAAAGAATATATATATACAGTATATTTGCATGTTAATTGCAAATGAAATTGTATTATATTTTTCATTTATATTAAAAGCTACATATTAGCAGAAATGTATCCTCATTTTTTTTGACCCACTTAAGTAGGATTTAAGTACATTCGTATATGTAATTTCATAATTGCCCCCACTTTTTTCGAAATAGTGTTAAGTGTCCTGCCAACAAGCATTTAAGATCATTAAAATGTTCTTTGATATAATTTTTACTGAAATTTGTGACATGTACATATTTGTAATTACACATTTGAAATGACAAAGTTGCAACATAGTATATTTTAAATAACTTTAAGTGTATTGAATAATTGAATAATTAAAAAATGTGTTAGACAACTGCTTTATTTCCTTAATATTATATAATCTGCAAGTATAGTTGCAGATTAAATATATATTTTTTTAAAAACTTTTAAGATTGAAGTGCACATTCAATAAAATTAAATGTACTTTTACAAGATAGTATGAATGATTTGTATTGAATGAGTGAATATTGATTTAAAATTCAGAAAGTTTCTCACACAAAACTATGAAAAACGATGACTTCCGAAGGAATTGAAATAGTGCTTGTGAGTCATAACGGACCACTTTTATGGAGTTTTTATAGCCTGTGGTTACTAAACGTGTATGGAAAAAAAGCAGCATAGTGAAAACAATAATAGCAATGTGGATCTGTGAGGGTGAATAAATAATTGCAGAATTGTAATGTGAATTGTCCCATTAAAGGTGGGGTAAGCGATTTCTGGTAGCTAATGTTGATATTTCAAATTACCAAAGCAAACACGCCCCTACCCCAAAAGGGTTTCGCCCCTATTTTGATAGCTCCGCCCCACACATACGTACGCAACCCAGGCTACGATTAGTTCTGTGAAACAAAACAAAACCAATGTTACACAGTGTCTACACCGGACGCTATAGAATACTATAGAACTCATTATAATCAGTGATGCTGTCTACACCATACATATACATATACATATATATGGTCTACACTGGATGCGGCGCGGCACGACACGACAAATCCCCAACAGAAAACTGCTGCTGCGTTCTATTCATGACGTAGTGACACAAATTTCAAATGATTTTCAACGGTCGCTTTGTCGCGTCCAGTGTACTAGACAGACTTTAGCTGTTGCGGCGCAGACACGGTGTTACTCACCGATCGAGAAGAAACAAACAAATATACACGGGTCCTACTTCTTGCCTTATTGCCTTAAGCCTTCTTTTGTTAATTATCTCTATTTTGTTTTTTATCCGCCATCTCTATCTTTCTGTCGCTCGGCTAATGTCCGTCCCGTGCACTGAACGCTCTCTCCTCCACATCATGAGTAGACACGCCCCTTACTGCTGATTGGCTACAAGTTTGTTTTGTTATTCGGCCCGAATCAGTTTTCTAAAGTGTTTTTTGAAAAATCGCTTCCCCCACCTTTAAGCGAGTGCACTTTAACAGTTTATTGACTTTCCTCTTCAATCGTGTAATCGATGCTGGAGGTTTCCTTAGAGTATAGACATCGTGCAAATAAATGCACAGTCGAAGCGTTTAAAGGATGAGTTCATTATGCATTGATTTTTGCTCTGGTTTAAACAGCATGTTATGCTGATGTACAGGTCAAGTGACATGCTGGTCTGTATCAGTGGTGTAAATTAGGTGTGAATTAGATTGAACTGGTTTTAAGCGAAGGAAGTGAGGGCAGGAAGAGAAAGCGACTGAATATTACTTTTTCTTCACACTTTTCCTTTATAATTTCACACCGCTCTCCTCATTTCCTTTCCCTCCCTCCCCTCATCTCTCTCTCTGTGTCTCTTTGTCTCTGCACCCTCCTCCCCTCACTGAACCCTCACATTGCAAACTTACACTCGTACCTCTGACTCTTCTGTGTGGGGAGACTCGGACCCCGAGTGGTGAAGCTCAGCCTCCCAGGCTGGATTTGCAGCGGAACTGGAGCGCAGCGCCACGTGGGTGCCTCGGGCTGCCCGGCCGGTGTGTGCCGGCGGCGGGAGCAAACCGGAGCGAGGAGGAGTTTGGCGCGGGGTCAGGAGAGTCAGGCAGGTGGCATGAGCAGGAGCAGGAGCAGGGGGTCGCCGTGAGCACCATGTGGGAAACGGAGGGTCTGCAGACGTTCGGCATCGTGTTGATTGTGTGCGCTCTCTTCTGTGTGGGGAGACTCGGACCCCGAGTGGTGAAGCTCAGCCTCCCAGGCTGGATTTGCAGCGGAACTGGAGCGCAGCGCCACGTGGGTGCCTCGGGCTGCCCGGCCGGTGTGCGCCGGCGGCGGGAGCAAACCGGAGCGAGGAGGAGTTTGGCGCGGGGTCAGGAGAGTCAGGCAGGTGGCATGAGCAGGAGCAGGAGCAGGGGGTCGCCGTGAGCACCATGTGGGAAACGGAGGGTCTGCAGACGTTCGGCATCGTGTTGATTGTGTGCGCTTCGCTCAAGCTGCTTCATCTGCTGGGGCTTATCAGCTTCTCTGAGGGTAAGAGAGAGAGAGAGAGAGAGACGGGCTTCGGTTCGAGAGTTTGTGCAGCGCAGATGTTTTCTGATGTCCTGTCAGAATGACAAATATCCAATTAAGTAATTGTTCAGACGTTTTAAATGAGTGGGAATATATGGATGCACAAGGAAAGACAGATGAAAGGATTGTGGATGCAGTAGAAAGATAGCTTTGGAGACAATTTGTAAGTGTTTATGTGAAGCTGTCAAGAGTCGTGTGTCTTTTAAAATCCAAATGTACATGCATTAGATTTGAACTATAAGCTTAAAGCAAAAGAAATGGCAGATTAATGGAATAATCTGTGACACTTTGCAATAAGGTTTCATTTGTTAACATTAGTGAGCTCTATTAGATACGATGAACTAACAATAAAAATACGTCTAAAGCATGCATTCATTTTAGTTCATGTACATTTTTGCATTTATTAATACATTAGACTTGAGCTAACATTAACTAAAAATGAACAGTACCATTTTTATTGACTAATGTTAACAAAGATTCATAAATACTGTAACGAATTGCTCGTTGGTTAATGTTGATCGGGTCTTATTGTAAAGTGTTACTGAATAATCATTAAACCATAATAATAATAAAAATAAAACAGACACCGACATGTCTAATTGACCTGCTCAGCAATTCTCATGCTTACTATTTTTCAATAATATTAATTTTCAGTGCAGTCATCCAGTAGTTGAACACATTTATAATGCATATCATTTAGCAGACACTTCAATGCAAAGCAACTTACAAATGTGGAATACAACAAGTGATTCATTATTGTAGTATTGTAGTTTTTTGTTTTTTGTTTTTTTTTACTTCAAAGGTTACACATATTGTTACTGGTTAATTGTGAAATTTACTAGCAATTTTTGACTGAAACATAAAGCTATTTTTTTTGTGTGTGCATCCAGTCATCATTTACTACATGCTCTTTCCCATAAAACACTGAATAGGATAGCTTATAGCTTTCTCATACATCAGCATCTCGTACATTCAAATCTGGTGCGCTTATGACAAGAGAGAGAGGTTGTCTCTTTGGATAGCAATGCAAACCTGCTCACTGAAGGAGAAAAACTGAGCATAAACTTCATCAAAACAGGAAATTCAAATGTGCACAATCTGAAAATCTTCATAGAGGACTGGCAGAAAATTTACAGTCATCACTGGATGGCATCAAAATATGAGATTTAAGATGTAATGGCGATTGAGTGCAGCCTGGATGAACCAGTGTTGAGATATTTTGCTATTAAAATGATCTTGCCAGAAGAATAGCATGAGACCTTTATTACTTCTGGTCTCTCAGTATCATGTCACTGACCGTTTATGACATTTTACGCATATGCAGTAAGTTCGTAGCACTTTCTGACATTTCGGTGGACAAGAATCTTTTTGGAAAAAGCTTAGAAACTTTCTAAAATCTATTTTACAAAATAATGCAGTCATACAATGATGAAAAACAGAAATCAAAGACTAGCAACATCATGGTTGCACACACGTGTATTCATGTAAGAAAAAAATAGTGAAATGTTTTATTTTGAAATAAATAACATTTTATATTTTTATTGAAATATTTCAAATATTTTTACAAAATATTGAAATATTTTATTTATTTTAAAATGTTTGTTATTTATTTATTTATTTTATTTTTTTCAAAAGTACCCACTCAGGAAAGCACCTGCACAGTTGCATGCACACATTTCTTTTTTTTCTTTAAGAAAAATTATTTTGTAAAATTGTTTTAGATTTTTTATTTCATTTTTTATTTAAAAATGTATATTGTTAAATATATTGATAAATAGCCACTAAGTAAAACACGTGCAGAGTTGCATGCACACGCTTGCTTGTTTGTTTTGTAATGTTTTATTTGTTTATGTGTGTTTATTTTTGATTATTGATTAAGATTGAAAAAGAATAGCATTTGTTACTTTATTACGTCTGCTCTCTCTGTATCATCCCAGTGAACTTTTATTATGTTTTATGCATTTGAAGTAAGTTTTTAGTGCTTTTCGGCATGGACATGCAACTTTTGGAGAATGCTTAAAAACACTTTGGGTTGTTTCGAAACGAAAACGCTATTTTCAAATGCATCCAGATGAATGTAGACGTATAGAGATTTACAGAGTCATCCTTCACACTATGATATCTTGCTGTTCCATTACAATGGGAGTCTTCAGACATCAGATCAGAGGCCAGAGATCATTACTCTCTCTTGTTCTGCTGATTAAATGCACCTCTGCAAAGCAGACTCCGTCCAACAATTGTACGCCCTGCAATCCAAACCCAGTTTGCTTTTAAAATGCTTCATTTTCCAGGTTGTATTTTTCCGTGTCTCTGTGGGTTCATTTCAATGGCTCATTTATTGTCAGTATTAGAGCAAATAGGATGTCAGCTGAACAATGGATCGTATTACCAAAGTGTTTCTTTTCGTTTATGAAATGTCAAACACTTTAGCATTTTAGGATTATATCACACTGTCTATCTAATGCCATTCTAAATGCCAACATCTTTTTCTTTGCTTAGTCTGAAAGACGAACTTCCTTGCCTCTGTGACATAGATGATATTTGCATTGACCCCAATCACAGACAGCTAGTCTCAGTAAATGATCTCAGTTATGAGCTCACAGGTGTCACTGAGCCAAGATCAGGGCTCATTTGAACATTAAGGCTATTAGTGCTGTGAAACAATAGCACAGACGACAAGAGGTCGCATCTAATCAGTGTGTCGGTGAAGATAAATGCTGTCCGGTTGACCTGTGCTCACACAGGTGCGCGCGCGCACACACACACACACACACACACTTCACGAGAGTGACTCAGGGACTCATAAAGATCCTGTGTCAAATTAACAACGGCGCCAAACATTAACACAGAGAACATTGCAGCCGCGGCAGTGCGGTGCTCTCACTTGTGGCCTTTGTCTTTGACATGTCTTTGTTAGAGATTTAAAGGCTTGTAACAGAGGTCTGTGGATGAAATTATTTTCAGAGGGACAAGGATCTGTGATAATAATCTGTCAGGTTTAAAAAATGAATTAATGTTTTTTTTTGTATGTATTGATTTGTTCATTTTTAAATATTTATTTGTTTTTGTTTATTTATTTAGCCCACACAGTAATCAAAAACAAGCAAAACACCAACAGGGTTGCAAAACACCTAGACATTTCATTTATTTATTTAACAAAAAATATTAAAAAAATTAATGTTTCTAAATATTTTGCTGAATTGTGCGTGAGTGCATGCATATGTTATTTATTTATTTATTTATTTATTTATTCCACACAGTAATCAAAGACTAGCAAAACATATATTTTTCATTTATTTATTAATAAAAAAAGATTGATTCATTTATTTATTTTACAAAATACTACTTTCATATAATGATGGAAAACAGGAGTGTTTATTCCCTCTGTTACTGTATACTAGCAAAACACTTACTTGTTTGCACACATTATTTCTTTATTTAAAAATATATATTTGCAATGTTTGTAATTTTGTTTATTTTTTTTATTTTGCTAAATTTAGCTAAATACTCAGTACTCAAAACAAAACACCAACATGGTTGCACACAGACTTTTATTAAAAAATTACAGTACATTATTGAAATGTATTCATTCATTCATTTATTAATTTAGCTAAATACTGCTTTCATAAAATAATGAAAAATAGGAGTGCTTATATATAATCGAAGCACAATACCAGCACATTTGGACACACACCTCGCCTCACAATCTTGATTGGCAGCCCTTCAATTGAGATTTGTTCTCCTGCAGACAGCAGAAGTCAAATAAAAGTGCAGTGCTCTTCAAATATCTCTGAACTCTCAAACTTCAGAATGTGCTTCATCTCTGTTTTACCCTCCATCTCTTGAGAGCTGGATAAAAGCAGAAGGTTATGACTCTGGTTTAGTGCTTGTGTTCCCAGAGTTTGAGTGTTGAACAGCTGGCACGTATTTGTTGTGAATATAGGCACCTTTGTGGCTACAGATACTCAAACTGAACTGCACATCAAGGTTTTATATGATTTTTTAAATGTCCTAATTAAGATGCAGGACATCATGATAATGTTCTGTTTGCTGTTGCTTTAAAAGTCTGTGATCTGAGTTCATGCCACCACTACTTGCTTCATATTTTGTTTTTTGCATGATTATGTCGGGTCTGATCCCAGTGCAGGGAATTTCTGTAAGTCGGTGGCTCTGATTCAGCACATATACTGTTGAAACTTGGATCCAAGATGTTATTTTTGTTATTTATTTAAGTCAGTCAAATCTCAAGTCACGATCAAAACTCGACTTGTGCCTCAGGTTACAAGGTTGCAGTTCAGCCAAGACATGTCAAGTTTTGAATTTAAGACTCCAAAGGGTTTGCTGTAATGTTGATTTAAATTTTAATGCATTGCTTTTATTTAAATGTATTATGCCGGTGACAAATGTGTTTTGGCTCAAGCCATAACAAGTGAACAATACAGCAAGCATGTGCCAAACTTCCCATATGAAAGCAGCAGAGCTCGTTCAGTCCCAGTATCTCCTCGTGGCCTGTGAATATTTGACAGTGTGTTAATGTGTGCCAGAACTCACCTGTGTGTTCGCAAGACGCAAGGTAACCATTATCAGCAGAGCACATGCAATGACATGTTCAGCTGGAAACATAAGCTTATTAACCTGCTTGAGTACTATAGCCATGAAAACAAGGGCGAATTTGACAGTCTTTGTTCACGTGACATACTTACCAATAGACACTTAATTGCTTTTTGCAATGAATCTCGGACTCAGTCTTGCAGCAGAGCTGCTTCTGCATCAGCTGTCTAATGAAGAAACAAAAGAGTGGAGCAATTAATGATGTGTGTATGAGAGAGATAAATGTATTCATTTATTATTCATTTATTCATATAAAGTGTTTATTGACTATATAATATGCAACATACTGTATATCTTATGTAGAATTACCTTGAGTTCTATATGAACAACTATTCCTGGCCAAGTTAAAG